AGTCACATGACCAGTTTGAAACTGTGGCGGGCAGAGCGGCCCAAGCGTTTCAAAGTAGCGGACACATGGAAAGAAGAAACCCATGAAAACATGGCAGAGCCAGTCGTCTACGCTAGAGCTGAAGAGGATGAACACCCTTGGCCTCACATACAAAGAATTTTTCGCTTAAAAGCAGTACAAAAGAACAGCTATGTCTTCAGTGTCGGTGTCTTCAGTGAGAGCCAAAACAAACAAACTTTTCAGCGTGAAACAACTCAACTCGTGTAACCTGAGGAAACGGTAAGTTTTCTCTAAATATCTTTTTAGCTGTGGTTAGCTGGATGTCAGTCTTATGTTACAGCAGCGGTGTCCAGCTCGAGCTGCGAGTCATATTTTCGGCGCTACGTTGTAGTGAGATAAGTTTGTGGGTGTTTTGTGCAGCTTCGGCTGTCTTTTTAACTGCTCGCTGGTTAGCTAGCGTAAGCTATAAGATAACATGTAGCATGGTTAATGACGCCAGAGTTCCATGCACATGCAAACAGCTTGTCTCTACTGCTTTAACTGTTAAAACAGAAGGCAATACTGTGGCTGACAGGGTTTATTATGTGAAACAGCAGCTTGTTTAGTTTAAACAGTCTGTGTTAAGCTGGGCAAACACTGCGATTTTTTTCAGGCGTGTTATTGAGCTCCTGCTCAAACTGTACAATTGAATCTCAGGGGTTAGAAGTTCATAGGTCACGATGCAGGTCTCACAGTATACGGCCTGATGCTCTGATGCGACCTGAGTGCTCAGACTGTGCGTCCATAACATGAAGCTTATCATACAAAATCTGTCCCTCGCTCTCCCTCTCTGTCTTTCACTCACTCACGCAGACACACACAGAGCTGCCACCCAGGAAAAAGAAAAATAGAAAAGTGAAAAGTATATTGTTCTAACAGTACTTTTCACGTTTGAACAATATAATATCACGTTATTACAATATACAGAATTATCATGTTCGTACAATATAAATATTATATAGGCTTCATCGCAGCTCCAGTCACGGCTTCCATCACCGTCTTGCTTGTCTTTTCCCAGAGTAACAGCCAAACAGGAGGATCTATTGGCTAGCACTGCTTAGCCTTGCACGCATTTTAATTTTAAACTTAATCTGGAATTCATTGCAAACTGTTTGTGCAGGATATGAATGACAAGATTTTGTTTTTCTACAAGAGTTAGTAAAAACATCTCCAGTGTGATCAAATCTTCTTGCCAAACATCCACAGTTTTGCAGTGTATACAGCACTATAATGATCAGACCTAATTCTTTTGAAAACCTTACATCTTTCCACAGGTCTCAACTTCATCAGACATCACCTAGACACAGAGCTGGATGAGGCCAGCGCAAACAGCAGCCTAACCGACTAAGACGATGGATCCATGGGGTCAGAAAAGCCAGAAGCAGGGTACCTTTCATGTCCATTCACTGGAGGTGTGGATCTATTGCATGGCGTTCCTCACATCAAGAAGCTGTTGATCAAAATCAATACAGCTCTTCCTGCATCTGGAGCTTGTGAAGGACTTCTCAGTCATGCAGGACTCCTGTTCACTGCTAAACAGTTACAGCTTCACAGAAAGAACCTTGAGGGCAAACTGCTGCTGAAGCTTAACCATCACCTCACTGAGTTAGGAAATGGCACATTTTTGCAAAATATGCAGAAATAAATGCAAACCCATACAATTTATGGTAAACTGAGCTCTCTTGTATGTACATACGTTGAAGATGCCTCGTTCTGTTTTCTGAGGCTGCTGTGCCATTTGGTGCAAAAATGAATATAAAGTTTACAGCATATCTTGTCACTGGAAATTCTTTGCACTGTTTATATATTTATTATTTACTGTAGGTATTGGTGAAAAAAAGCTTTATGTTGTGAAAAACTGAAATCTGGAAATTAGAATTGTTGTGCCTTATTTTGTTGATGTTTTTACATATATTCCTTTTGAAAATACTAAAATTTGTATATTTATTTATTTTTGTTTGTCTGATAATATTTATTTATAAAATAAATCGGACATTTCAAACAGTTACTCACTACTTGAGTAGTCGTTTCACCAAGTACTTTTTTACTCTTACTCTAGTAACTTTTTTGAAGACTACTTTTCACTTTTACTTGAGTAATAATATTTTAAAGTAATGCTATTCTTACTTGAGTACAATTTTTGGATACTCGACCCACCTGACTGTGAAGCACTATAGTAAACTTTGTTGCTTTTAATATGTGCTATATAAATAAATTTCTACTTGATTTGATGGTGTTCGTTATGGATAAACTGTGGTTTGCACAGAAGTCCAACAACAAAGCACCATTTGGGTTCACATCTGGGAGGCCGTTCCTCCTAATCATGCCCCTCCAGGTCTCACTGTCATTACCCACATGAGTGTTGAAGTCTCCCAGTAGGACAACACAGTCCCCAGGTGGAGAATACTAAAACACCCCGCCCAGGGACTTCAAGAAGGTTGGGTACTCTAAACCGTCATTCGGTGCAAAAGTGCAGATAACCGTCAGGACCAGTTCCCCCACCTGAAGCCGCAGCGAACAAAGCCCCTGGTCCACCGGAAGAAACCCCAATGCACAGGCAGCAAACCAAGGCGATACTAGGATATCCACTCGGCAATACTTTCATTTTTTTTTTTTCATAGAGGACATGATTACATGTAGTCTAGAGGAAAACCTTGGACATGATGACTTAAATTGGTACTAATGTGCTATTTTCTCCAACTTTGTCAACAACTCGGGCAGAAGGTGTCAAATCGTGCCAGAGCACTACAAAGGATGTCTCACTGTAAGGCTATAGTAACCTAATTACAGTTAGAGTTTACTTGCTGCTGTACTTTAGGTGAGCTCCTTAGAAAGCTCCTTACCATGCATGGAGGGTTTCACCCCAAGTCCATCACCCTGAGGCTGTAGGCTGTAGGCTAAGCGGAAGGAAGGAGACTGGTGAGTGTCAGCACCACAGTCCAGGATGAGACGACGAACATCCACGAATACATTGGGAAGATGGCCCCAACTGACAGCGTG